ACACACGCAGACGTACACACGCGCAGACGTACACACACGCGCAGACGTACACGCGCAGACGTACACACGCAGACGTACACACGCGCAGACGTACACACACGCAGACGTACACACACGCAGACGTACACACGCGCAGACGTACACACACGCGCAGACGTACACACGCAGACGTACACACGCGCAGACGTACACACGCGCAGACGTACACACGCAGACGTACACACACGCGCAGACGTACACACGCGCAGACGTACACACACGCGCAGACGTACACACGCAGACGTACACACGCGCAGACGTACACACGCAGACGTACACACGCGCAGACGTACACACGCGCAGACGTACACACGCGCAGACGTACACACGCGCAGACGTACACACACGCAGACGTACACACACGCGCAGACGTACACACGCAGACGTACACACGCGCAGACGTACACACGCGCAGACGTACACACGCGCAGACGTACACACACGCAGACGTACACACACGCGCAGACGTACACACGCGCAGACGTACACACGCGCAGACGTACACACACGCGCAGACGTACACGCGCAGACGTACACGCGCAGACGTACACACGCAGACGTACACACGCGCAGACGTACACACGCGCAGACGTACACACGCGCAGACGTACACACACGCGCAGACGTACACACGCAGACGTACACACGCGCAGACGTACACACGCACAGACGTACACACGCGCAGACGTACACACGCGCAGACGTACACACACGCGCAGACGTACACACGCAGACGTACACACGCGCAGACGTACACACGCGCAGACGTACACGCGCAGACGTACACGCGCAGACGTACACACGCGCAGACGTACACACGCAGACGTACACACACGCAGACGTACACACGCAGACGTACACACGCGCAGACGTACACACGCGCAGACGTACACACGCGCAGACGTACACACGCGCAGACGTACACACACGCGCAGACGTACACACACGCAGACGTACACACACGCGCAGACGTACACACGCGCAGACGTACACACGCGCAGACGTACACACGCAGACGTACACACGCAGACGTACACACGCAGACGTACACACGCAGACGTACACACACGCGCAGACGTACACACGCAAACGTACACACGCGCAGACGTACGCACACGCGCAGACGTACGCACACACGCAAATGTACACACATGCGCAGACGTACACACGCAGACGTACGCACACGCGCAGACGTATACACACGCGCAAATGTACACACACGCGCAGACGTACACACGCAGACGTACGCACACGCGCAGACGTACACACACGCGCAAATGTACACACACGCGCAGACGTACACATACGCAGACGTACACACACGCGCAGACGTACACACACGCGCAGACGTACACACACGCGCAGACGTACACACACGCGCAGACGTACACACACGCGCAGACGTACACACACGCGCAGACGTACACACGCAGACGTACACGCACACGCAGACGTACACACGCGCAGACGTACACACGCGCAGACGTACACACGCGCGCAGACGTACACACGCGCGCAGACGTACACACGCGCGCAGACGTACACACACGCGCAGACGTACACACACACGCAGACGTACACACACGCAGACGTACACACACGCAGACGTACACACACGCAGACGTACACGCGCAGACGTACACACACGCACAGACGTACACACGCAGATGTACATACACGCAGACGTACACACACACGCAGACGTACACACGCGCAGACGTACACACGCAGACGTACACACACACGCAGACGTACACACGCAGACGTACACACGCAGACGTACACACGCAGACGTACACACACGCGCAGACGTACACACGCACGCTCGCTCGCACCCAGTCCGCACTCCGATTACAAAAGCTATCGAGTCGTTTCTTTTTTTCTCTCTCTTCCCCGACCTGCCAATGTCACTTACAGAGTTGGGGAGGGAGATCCACAGAATGTCAAATTATGCAACGTCTCCCCCCCACTTAGGAATGACGTGGGGGGTGAGGGGGGCAGCCGGGATGTTTCCTGCAAGCCCATTCCTGTCCAAAGCGGCATGCGCGCAATCTCCCTCTCTCGGAGAGGGGTCCCGAAGATGAAAATCCGCGCCGTGCGGTCTCAGCGCGGACATCTGGGTCTCTACGTGCTGCGAGGAATATGTTCAACACGCACGCAGCACATGTGGCTACGTACGGTGTGAAAGAAGTCGAACACACGCACACACAGAGGACGGTTGGTTACGTACGGTGTGAAAGAAGTTGAACACACGCACACACAGAGGACGGTTGGTTACGTACGGTGTGAAAGAAGTTGAACACACGCACACACAGAGGCCGGTTGGCTACGTACGGTGTGAAAGAAGTTGAACACACGCACACACAGAGGCCGGTTGGTTACGTACGGTGTGAAAGAAGTTGAACACACGCACACACAGAGGCCGGTTGGTTACGTACGGTGTGAAAGAAGTCGAACACACGCACACACAGAGGCCGGTTGACTACGTACGGTGTGAAAGAAGTTGAACACACACACACACAGAGGCCGGTTGGTTACGTACGGTGTGAAAGAAGTTGAACACACGCACACACAGAGGCCGGTTGGTTACGTACGGTGTGAAAGAAGTCGAACACACGCACACACAGAGGCCGGTTGACTACGTACGGTGTGAAAGAAGTTGAACACACACACACACAGAGGCCGGTTGGTTACGTACGGTGTGAAAGAAGTTGAACACACACACACACAGAGGCCGGTTGACTACGTACGGTGTGAAAGAAGTCGAACACACGCACACACAGAGGCCGGTTGGTTACGTACGGTGTGAAAGAAGTTGAACACACACACACACAGAGGCCGGTTGGTTACGTACGGTGTGAAAGAAGTTGAACACACACACACACAGAGGACGGTTGGTTACGTACGGTGTGAAAGAAGTCGAACACACACACACACAGAGGCCGGTTGGCTACGTACGGTGTGAAAGAAGTTGAACACACGCACACACAGAGGACGGTTGGTTACGTACGGTGCGAAAGAAGTTGAACACACACACACACAGAGGACGGTTGGTTACGTACGGTGTGAAAGAAGTTGAACACACGCACACACAGAGGACGGTTGGTTACGTACGGTGTGAAAGAAGTTGAACACACACACACACAGAGGACGGTTGGTTACGTACGGTGTGAAAGAAGTTGAACACACGCACACACAGAGGGCGGTTGGTTACGTACGGTGTGAAAGAAGTTGAACACACGCACACACAGAGGGCGGTTGGTTACGTACGGTGTGAAAGAAGTTGAACACACACACACACAGAGGACGGTTGGTTACGTACGGTGTGAAAGAAGTTGAACACACGCACACACAGAGGGCGGTTGGTTACGTACGGTGTGAAAGAAGTTGAACACACACACACACAGAGGACGGTTGGTTACGTACGGTGTGAAAGAAGTTGAACACACGCACACACAGAGGA